TCTGAGGTTGGTGCCGCTCCTCTTGCACGAGGACGTTGGGAGGGAAGGCGGCACTGCCGGCAGGTCTGACCCCCTTCCCCCTGCCCAGCCTGGGCTTCTCTGCCTGGTCCCTGTCAGGGCTCGGGAGGAGGTGGATTGGGAGCAAGCCGTGAGTCCGTGTCTACGCTGCACCCCCAGCCTCGGTTTTCTGCCTGGCTGGGCTTCTCACACTCCCGGCACGCTTCGGGGAGGGGGGAACTTAAACACATGAAGGAGAACCTCCCTCTAATTATCAGGAGTGATGAAAGCCTCTTAGGCAAGAAGTGATGAGGGAAGAGTGCCTGACCGTGGGAAGGAGAGAGACGGCACAGATGGCATCATGCTGCCGAGCAACCTGCTCCTGTGCCGGGAAAAGACAGCAGCGAAACACGGATGCACCGGGGATATGGCCCTGGCCATGCCGCCCAGCCTGATGTGCAGCCAGGGAGCCCTGCCTCAGGTCCTGCCCTGGGTTTTGGGCAGCCTTGCAGGGAGCTGGGGTGGTCAAACGGACATGCCGAGGCCGGCAGGACCAAGGCAGGCTGGAAATGGTGTTTCACCGTGTTACTGGCACCCAGGCGCTGACTTGCTCGCCACTTTACAGAGTCTTTGGCCAGCCAGGGGGTGCTGACCCAGACAGGCTCTAAATGCAGCAGAGATGCTGTTGGCTGGGTTTTGGGCAGCCTTGCAGGGAGCTGGGGTGGTCAAACGGACATGCCGAGGCCGGCAGGACCAAGGCAGGCTGGAAATGGTGTTTCACCGTGTTACTGGCACCCAGGCGCTGACTTGCTCGCCACTTTACAGAGTCTTTGGCCAGCCAGGGGGTGCTGACCCAGACAGGCTCTAAATGCAGCAGAGATGCTGTTGGAGCGAGACGTGTGGCGGTGAGTGCTCTTACGGGGGCGTTTGATGTCCTTATGGTAGATTAAGAACCTCGGCAGAAGGGAGAGTGTGAAAACCATCCAAGGATGAGCAACCTGCTCCTGTGCCGGGAAAAGACAGCAGCGAAACACGGATGCACCGGGGATATGGCCCTGGCCATGCCGCCCAGCCTGATGTGCAGCCAGGGAGCCCTGCCTCAGGTCCTGCCCTGGGTTTTGGGCAGCCTTGCAGGGAGCTGGGGTGGTCAAACGGACATGCCAAGGCCGGCAGGACCAAGGCAGGCTGGAAATGGTGTTTCACCGTGTTACTGGCACCCAGGCGCCGACTTGCTCACCACTTTACAGAGTCTTTGGCCAGCCAGGGGGTGCTGACCCAGACAGGCTCTAAATGCAGCAGAGATGCTGTTGGAGCGAGACGTGTGGCGGTGAGTGCTCTTACGGCGGCGTTTGATGTCCTTATGGCAGATTAAGAACCTCGGCAGAAGGGAGAGTGTGAAAACCATCTCCAAGGATGGGGCTTTAGAAATGGCTGGGTTAAGTTAGCAGCAGCTGGGAGGGCTGAAGTAGGAGGGGCAGAACCATGACCTCGGGGCGTATGTGGAGGATAACCTGAGATGCTTTAGGTCCTTTGGCAAGTGGAGACCAGGAGACCAGCTGGGACCTGCAGTAGTTAAATGGCGAAGGAGACCCTCAGGTGAGGAGGGTCCCGAAATAGCCAAGATTTGGCTTTGACCCTGCAGAACTGCAGAGTGGAGCTGCAGCTCCGGGGGCCAGGGTGCCCGGGGCAGGGCTGTGCCGGGTACTTCACCCGACTGCTTTGAGATGCCTCGTGAGGTGGTGGAGAGGGGACTGGGGAGTCTTTCTGCAGACCCTGAAAGACTTGGTGGCTGGAAAATCTCTCCTTTGTGGAGGGCTGATTTCATGGGGGGGTCGGTGGTTATGCCCCAGCGCGTGGCTTGCAACTGCTTGGACCATGCTCCTCTCTTAAATGACCTCTCTCTGGTTGCTCTAACTTCCATGAGGATTAACCCCTGCTTTCCCTGCTCCGCTGCCTCCGCATCTTGGATTTGCCTGCCCACCGGTCGCTGCTTGAGCCCTTATCGGGAGCGCAGGAGCAGTCCTTTGGCTTTGTTTGTGTCCCCCGCTCCCCCCACCCTCTGCACCTCCCTCCATCAAAGCAACCAGAGATAGGAAGCTACGGCTCTGCTTTTAAGTTGAATCTCTGCAGCTGAAATAAAATTGCATATATTTGCATAAGGAGCATCTCAATTAGCATATTTGTGGGTAAAGCTAAAAGGGCTGTTCATTTGGAAGTGAAAATGTGAGCGAAACATGGAAATGACTTCCAGTCCCCTTTGCAAGCAGCTTAATTAAATATTTCCTTAGAGTGTGCGCATGGATTTGGGAAGCTCTTGCTGTATGTGTAATGGTGTGTGAAACCCCAGAGCGGGCAGGGAGCAGTGGTCCTGCGAAGCCCTAGGTGTGCATTTGCACCTTGAGCAGCCCGCTGCTGTGGCTCCCTTGTGTGCCGTCCCCACACCTCCAAAGTGACAAGTCTGCTGGAGGGCGAGGGATGCGGTATGCCGGGCCCTGCCACCCGAGGATCCCTCTCTCCAGGAAGGCTTTCCTTCTGCCACCTCACACGGTGATGCTGTGTTTTCCCCATTGTTTCCTGGGGGATAGAGGCAGAGAGGTAGCATGTGATTTAGGAGTGGGATCAGGCTGGGCAGGGCTGCCTGTCTCCTGCCAGAGCTGAGTTCAGGAGAAGATCTTGCCTTTGTTTAAATATAATTGCTTTGGGCCTGATCCTGTTCATGCTCAGATCAGTGAGAGCAGGTATGAGCCTTCTAGGGAGAAAAATGGTGGTGCTGCTTTTTTTTTCCCCTCTTTTCTCCTCTTCCCCCCCCCCCTCTTCCC